AAATAAACAATATATTGTAAGTAATAGGAATTTGAACATAAACATAAGCAAGTTTTTAATTAGGGTCAAGGACGCAGGGGACCATTTCCCCCTAGCCTTCTGTATACCCAGGCAAGTCTTATTCACCCAAACACAATCACATTCATGCAGCACTTTTATCTATTTCATTACACACACACACACACACACACACACACGCATACATGCTCCAGTCAATGCAATATGGGGTTCAGTATCTTAAGAATACTTCAACATTCAGACTGCATAACACTGTGGGCTCAATCCACCGACCTTCCAACTCCACCACCTGAGCCACAGGTGTTACAGCGAGTGTGGATATTGTTTTGTTGTTTTTCTGGCTAATGATAGTTAATGGTTTACACTCTACATAGAAATAAGGCCATAGCCTCTTACAGAGACAACTTTATCATATATCAACTTTATCAAGCTTTTAATGTGAAAAATTCTACAAGACCACCTTTTAACATATATTTTCACAACTGTGCATCCAGCCACTTTCTCCAGTTTATCATATTGAGGATTGCAGGACATATTTACTCTAATGATAATATTTGCAGCCTCTCATAGCAAACACAGTGAGAGGTTTTAGTGCTGCTCAAGAAACATAGAATACACGTATTTTTTCACTGATAATTTCAGACTGTTTTATCAAACATGATCCGGAGACGTAAAGGAGAGCCCACAAGTTAATATGAAAAACATCCATAATGTCATATGAACCTTCTAAAACTCCTGGGATGCTGTGTTAATAGGATTCGGCTTCACGGGGATGAATCTTTTTTTTTAAATGAAATTTATTGGCTTTTATGCCGTGTTTCCTACACCCCCATGCATGTGTGTGGTGAAGAGAGACAGAGAGAGAGCGATGGAAAAAGAAACAAGCACATCAGTGGCATTTTTCAGCAGTCTAGCACGTACTTTTTAGTGGGAATATTTTGGTGCACACACAGTGCCTTCCCAGTGCCTGGGGATGCATAGGTTGCCAAGCAACAAGGTGGTGTCCTAGAAAAAAAAGTTTAAAGCTGTAAAACGTTGATTTGGATCCAAGTTCAAAACGCTCGCTATTGATCCCGGTTAATGGTTTCACTGTACTCTGCTGAGCTGTATTTTCTTTCCTTCTCGGTTCTTCATTGTTTCGAACAGAGCCGTGTTTCATATATTGATTTTTTTATTGAGTTTTTCTTCATCCCGTGAGCTTCAGAAGTCATACTTCATATTGTGATGGACCTGTCCTCTACTGCCAGTGTTGGGGAGTAACGGAATACATGTACCGCCGTTACGTATTTAAAATACAAAATATGAGTAACTGTATTCCGTTACAGTTACCGTTTAAAAAGGTGGTATTTAGAATACAGTTACTTTGTTGAAATAAATGGATTACACGGCGGTACTTCCCTGTTTCATATTGTGGCGGGTCAGGACTGTTTGGGTTTTGTTTGACAGCTACGTTCTGTTGTTCCAGGCGGCAGCGTTACAGTTGCCATGGTTACAGGGTGACGCTCTCTCTCTCTGCGTGTTTCCTGGGTGAGAGAGGCCTTTTTGTTGTTGTTGTGCTAAGCTAATAGGCAGAATGCTACAGGTATAGCTCTAAAGAATGTAGCATCATGGGCAGTGTAGTCCGTGCTGCAGGGAGAATGGACTGCCATACACGTTATGTGTCTGTGAGCGAGGGAGGGAGAAAAAGGAAAAGTACGAGCTGTCATCGAGCAAAAACGGGAGCTGGAAGCATGTAAATATAATAATAACCACTGCAGCCAAGAAGAGAGCCTGACGAGCCCAGTTGTAAGTAAGCTATTAAGACTCGACTGTACACCGTGTTCGTGTTTTCCTCCAAAAACAATAAGTTCTGTTGGAGCAGCCTTTCAACGCCTCTCTCTGTCTGTCGCTAGCAAAGTTGACCCAGACAACAAAGTAAAGCTAGTTTTCGGCTACGAGCCCGACACAGAACCCACCGTATTAGCCAGAGGTCCCTTTACTACGGTTCGGAGCCGCGGACCTTCAGTAACAGTAATAAATCACAGCAATAGTACATTCATGTAGTTGTAAACAGCATGATAATATATTAAGTAATCCAAAGTATTCAGAATACGTTACTCTCATTGAGTAACGTAACGGAATACGTTACAGAATACATTTTGGGGCATGTATTCTGTAATCTGTAATGGAATACATTTTAAAAGTAACCTTCCCAACACTGCCTACTGCTAAGCAAAAACTGTATCCAAATAAATAGTGCTATAAAACTCTTTAAGTGATTAATTAGAAGTAAAAATCTTGCTTTTAAAATGTCATTTCAGTACAAGCACACAAGTTTTATCAAACTAAATTAGCTTAACAACAAATAAAGAATATTTAAGTGTTCAGGCAGCTGTAGCCTAGTCTTTTAGATTCTTTACCTCGCTGTAAAAGTTTTATACTTTATATGAACATTTTTAGATTCTTAAGAATTTTATGCATATATATATATATATATATATATATAATATGTGAATAATTGCAGTCAAACTAAGCTCTGCTCAAGAGTGCACCACAGTATGATGTATATTTATTTCCCTTTTGTGTTGCACGTGCTTAGGTGTGTATCTGAGAACAGCTGTTGAGCATACACAGGGGTCTATTTGAAAGATGTAAGTGGATCATAAAAAGAATCCTTCAGACGTATGATGAAAAATAAAACATTACGACCAACAATTCTGGATCAAAATGGAGCAAACCATATTGCAGTGCTTGTGGTTACAGCGTGTCAGATAACCATGTGGCTGGAGGTCACCTTATATCCACTGTGCTCCACACTGTTCAAACACACAAGTGCTCCAGCGACAGTGCAGTCACACTGAAGAATAAGCTGTTAAAACCACACTGTGAAATACGTGGAAACTTTCTGTGCAGTTATCATGTGTGTGTCTGCCTTTTCATAATTTAATCCTGTACTCATTCTACTGTTTGCTTTCTCATAGAAATTGATGAAGATCGTCTCCCAAATCAGCTGTACAAGGTAATCTAGTTTCTTCTCTATTAAAGTCTGATTTTGTTGTAACGAGATTACGAAAATGAAATTATGTGAATCCTGGGTTTCAATTTGAAGCTAGTTCTATGTTATAGTAATATCTTCAATCTAAGAGCTCTCTGCCCAGCTGACGTGCAGCGCTGATGTTTCACAGGCAGCCTTGTTGAACTCCCCTCGGCAACGGCGAAAAGGGCAAAAGGGAACGCCTACGATGAAAGGTGAGCTATGTTATAAGCATTGCCATCA